GAGTGTGGAGAGCAGTGATCCCCATTTGAACCTTCTCACTGTTTGCACATGGAGTACCATCTGACGGGAGAACTGTGTCCCCAAAAGACCCACTCAAACCCCGACCCCAGTACCGTGAGTGTGGCCTCATTTGGAAGTAGGGCCTTTGCAGGTACAGTCAGGTTAAGATGAGGGCGTTAGGGCGGGCCCCACCCCCCACCCACACCCCCCACCCCAACTCACTGGTGTCCTTACTAGAAGAAGAGACAGATACAGGGAGAAGGCGGTCATGTGGCGATGGAGGCAGAGATTGGGGTGATGTGGCCACAAGCCAGGGGACGCCAAGGGTTGCTGGTAACACCAGAAGCTGGAAGCGGGGAGGAAGGCGTCTCCCCTACAGGTTTCAGAGGGAGTGTGGCCCTGTGGGCACCTGGGTCCTGGACTTCTGGTCTCCAGACAGAGGCAATACATTTCCATTGCTTTACGTCTTCCCCTCCCCTCCACCGCCCCGTTCCCTCTCCCCCTCCCCAGTTTGTGGTGCTTTGGTGTGGCTGCCCCAGGAAATAAACACACCATCCAATGCTATTGATCACCTGTGCACGCCAATCACCTCCCTGGTCATACCTCAAATTTGTGGACCTGCAGGTGACGCCCACAACCACTGAAGGCGCAGGGACCCGGGGCAGCATCCTCATCGTCACGCCTACTCCTGTCAGCATCCTGGGGACGCCCGGGCCCATCCATCCGACTGGTCCTGTGCTCCTCCTTGCCCGAAGTTCATCCCGCTCCCCGGGGTATGCACAATGCTCTCTCGCTCTGCGACATCCCGTTCCAGCAGCCCACTCACAGACCAAAAGCTCCAGATGCCCAGGTCTTTCTCGCCCTACATCCATCCGCTCCACCCAGGCCTCTGCTCTTCATCCTCCAGTCTCCGAGTCACTGGTCCCTGTCGAATCGGCCGCCATCTCTAGCCAGACCTGAAACCTAGACTCAAGGTCCACAACGTTGACAATGTTAGGAGACACTCCTACACGTCACGCGGGATGTGCCAGGCCCTGACCAGTCCTCCCTGGGGCATTGCACAGGTCTGCGTTTGCAGACAGCACCCTTGAAGGTGAAGCAACCTCCTTCTGGGGCGAGGGCCGCTTCTTCTCCTGTAACACACCCACTGTGTGCAGCATCCAGCCAGGAGCACCAGCTCCCCCCTGTGGGACCTGGGGCTCAGGGAACCGGCACACCATGCTGACGCTCCGCCCACTGCTTTTCCTGTGAATAATCGTCTTTTGTCTCTGACCTGGAAGTCTCCTGTCTTCTGCCACTATCCCAGAAATGGTGGCAGTTTAGTCTGTTACCTCACAAGTGGGGTGAAATCCTTGACCCGCACAGTTCTTGGCAAGAACTCTTTCACAGGATCTCAGCCTCTCCTTTCTCCCTTGTCTTCGTCCAAAGCACCCAGCAAACCCCCGGTCTAGACCAGTTCACGCCTACCAGCTGCTGTGTGGAAGATGCCACTGCAAACCTCCCAGGGTCCCCCAGCTGCTCAGGGATCTCCACGCCCACCCCCAATCAGCTCCCCCGCTCATCACTGCTATTCCAAACCATCCATCTTTACCACACCTCCTGGCTGCATACCCCCAGCCCCCCAATGAAGAAAACAATGTCCTGAGAACGCCTCAGTGCCTCCTCCCATCGCGTCCCCTCCAGACCCAGCCTACCTGTCTCCACCCTGTCCCCGAGCCAAGGGGGGCCGGCCTCCCGCCCTGAGCTAACCCGGCCCCTGGGCTCCAGGTCCCTCAGCTGCTGCCAGGGTCTGGGTCCATCCTTCGGGCCCTTGTCCTCCTGCATCTCCAACCTCACTCGCATCATCCACCCCACAGACGCTCACCGAGCGTCCCGAGGGCCCAGGCTGTGCAGGGCCACACACGCTGCTTGGGAGCTGGCCAGGGTCCTCTCCACACTGGACGTGTTAGTGCCCTTAAGCCGCACGCCCACCTGTGAGCTAGGCCTTTACTCCTGCTTTCCAGATGAGGAGAGGGAAGCAGTGAGTTTAAGTAACCCAGTCAAAGTCAGCCACAGCTACGGACGGACGAGCCGAGCTCAGACCCAGCGTAGGCGGACCCTCAGGGGCTAGCTGTCCCTTGACAATGACCCAACACTGCTGCCACCGCCCAGAACGCCCTCCAGCCGTCTTCCGTGATGGACCACTGCTTCTCGCTCTTCCCGTCCCACCTTCAGCGACGTCCCCTAAACCGTCCCCCCTTGTAGTCCCCCATCTTCACACCCCCTCCACCCCCACTGAGACAACCCTGCTCAGGGTCACCAGAAGTCCTGCTCTCAAAGGAGACAGCCGCTTGTCCCTTGTCCTCGTGTCTGAGCGTGGATGCAGATATTGGGTATCAATGAATATGCACACAAGCAGGGGGGTGTCTGGGCGCTCCTCTGTCTGCCCCTCCCAGGAGCAGGGGTGGGGCGTCAGAGCACAGGTCTGGGCTTCAGAAGGTCCTAGCTCTTTGCTGATGTGTGACCTTTGCAAAGTGACAGCCTCTCTGAAACTGGTTTCTCCTCAGTAAGAGGGGGTCATACTGCCCCCCATGCATGTGTATTGGGAGCAAAGGCACTATTTGCCACATTCCTGGCACTTAGCACAGTTTCAATAACAGTTAATATTGAAGCGGCTCTTAACTTGGGCCAGGCAGGGTGCTAAGCACGTTACAGGTATTAACTCACATAATTCTCCCAGCACCTGTTGGAAGTAGGAACTGTTATTATCTCCACTCACCAGAAGAGTAAACTGAGGCACACAGAGCCTGTGTCCCAGTCCATGTGAACAGAGTGGAGGAGCCCAGGAGGTCGGTCTCCCCAGAGCACACGCTCAGCTACCATCATTGACGGGCCCCTGGTTCTGCTTGGACCCCTCCCTAGTGAAGAGAAACTCAGAAAGAGGGTCAGCCGGCACCCCAAACCCCATTGCGTCATGGGGTCCATTCAGGCCCACCCCACAGAGACTGGCCAGAGCAGACTCAGCCACGGACTCTGGTTCCCAGAGAAGAGGGGTGCCCTGGTCCACAGAAGGGGCAGCAGCTGTCCCCAGCCCACCTCAGGCCAGAGGGGCTCAGCGCACCTGGCTACCTGTCCTCAGCACTCTTTAAGGCTGTTTTTTCTAGGAAGCCAAGTACCAGACGTTTCAGTATCTGCGGTGTTTCAGTGCCCGTTTCTGTCCATGTTGACACCCAAATAGAGGCATGAGTGGCTGTCCGGGACCCGCTGCATGTGGGGCGTCGGCACCCTCCTCTGAGTGGGGTCCCAGGAGCAGAAGGCTGGGCCGGCCCTTGAATTGTGCACAAACCGACGGCCTGTGCCAGCCGTGTGGCCTCGGGCATGTCACCAGAACTCTCCAAATCTGTTTCTTCAACCGCAGCGAGTACACAGCAGTGTGTTTACATCGCTGGGCCCGTTGTGAAGTTTAAAGAACTATGGAAGTGTTACAAACCCCAAAGAGCCTATCACGTGCAAGGGACTAGTTCCACTGAACTTGCCCATCAAACAGGGTGCACAGACAGGCGCGCGCGGCAGCGACCCAGCCCACAGAGCGGGCTAGTCCGCGAACCAGCCAAGAACGAAGCAGAGCGTGGTGCTGAATGGTAAGGTCTCTGGGTGTTGCAGGATGGACACATCGGGGAGGCCGGAAGGCTTTCAGGGTGGAGGGGGTTAGGAGTGCCTGCAGCAGAGGCAGAAGTCCCGAGTGACCCACTGGGTGAGGCTCGGGCACTCACAATGGGGAGGGGCTGTAAGTGGCCATGTATGCGCGGCCCGGGGTAGGTGCAAAGAGACAGCAGCGAGGTGGCCTGGGGCCCGCAGGGGCCGCGGCCCACACCTGAGGCCCCCGGAATGGACGGCAGACGCCCAGGGAGGCACTAGCTCCGGGCGAGGAGATCATTCCGCGGAGGAACGATTGCGATTCTAGGACAAGAGCAGGGGCCTGGAGACCTGCCTAGATGGAGTGACTTTGGCAAGTGACCTGGTCCCGTGCCTCAGTGTCCCCTTCCTCGAGACTGGGGTCCGCGGCGCGCCGTTTCCTAGGCGCAGTGAGGACTGCACATCAGCGCTGGGCCCGAGCCGGGAAGCCCGCGCTGCCCTGGCCATGCGATACGGACGACGCCACGCGACCCCGCGGCGCTCCCGGCAAGAGGCCGCGTCCAGGGGGTGGTCTCCCCGGGTGGGAGCCTGGGGTTCCTTCCCGGACTTCCCACGCACTGCGAACGTCCGTTTACCGGGGAAGGGGCGTTCGGGTCCAGACGTCCCCTTCTCGCGGAACCTCCGCGTCTCCCTGGCAACTGGCCACGACCCCCGCCCTTCCCCGTTGCGTAAACAGGAAGTGGGCGTTTGCACGGCCTGCGCTTCCGGCGCAGCGAGGGGCGGGAGCAATTGTGAACGGCGTCTGAGGGGACCAATCGCGGAAGGCATCTGGAGACGAGCCAATAGCGAGATCCGGCGTGGCCCTGTGGGCACCTGGGTCCTGGACTTCTGG